GCACATTCTGCCTGTATTGACTGTCTATTGAGGGTCTCTTTGTGTCACCCTCTGATGTGAAATGTTAAAAGAAATATCCATCTAATAGGCCTTAATCAGGCTGCCACACTGGGATGATTCACATCAGATACAAGCAGACTGCTTAGGTGAATAAGAGCTTTTTGCAGAATCGGGCCCTAAATACATAGTACTGTAATGTTGGTTGTCATGCAGACCTGCTCTGAGAGGTTACAGTGACATGTTCACACTGTGATCTACATGAAGATAAGACCAGAGTGCTTTGATATTTTGTAAGAGTTATGTTTTTTCATAATTAGCATTTTCCTCTGTGACCACAATAAACTAGTTTCATTAAACTTCTTCCTATTTTATCAAATATGAAACAGGGATAACAACATGCAAAGCAGCAATAATTCATTCATCCTTGCTGCCTTGAGCTTCCTTTACTCTAAACTAGAGAGCTGCAATTTAGTCCTCCAGCAAGCATTCAGAATTGATTTGTGTCTTTGATGATGCCACCATCACAGAAGGTAAATTCCAAAAACACCAGATATACAAATACAAGTGTGAGTGCAACATCTTCACCTCCTCCTCCCTCCCCCCATTATCTGATTGTTTAGGCAAACTATGTAATTGTGGCCCATGGTCACCTGGCATGTGTTCTACTTAGCCACGTGCAGACTCTGCTTCCCTATTTGTTTGCAAATCAGATGCACACACATTTTATATGTGCATTTCATACCTGATGTACTGGGCCTAAGACATTTAAATTTACTGAACAGAGGAGATATAAACTGTAGATGAAAGTTAGTCTGGTATTTATTACGCATTTTGATTAAGAACCAGGAAAATGATTCTCCTTCCCACAGCAGAGGGCTGCAAATACTGGATCAAATTCTGACTGGTTCCTTCCTGCCTATGGAACAAAATAGGAGAGTCATAGGCACATCACAAGCTGGAAGTTTTCTGCCCTAATCCTAGTTTTTCTTACAATCCCCAGAGAAGGAGACTCTACATGGGAGGTGTTATTCCGCACACTTTTACACCCAGGCTCTTAATCCAACAATAGCAACTACACAAGGATAATTTAGACTCCTAGAAAGAATGATCTGTTGCTACATGGTACCCAATTCTGGTACCTATGCACTGCCAATATACTCTCATTTGCACGGTACATCAGGTGGTATAAAATTAAGAAGACGACGGTCACCCTCAAGTGAATTTAGAAGCACCTGCAAAAATTAGACTACTGGTTACTTTCTGCCATTTCCTTACTTCATAGAAGGCTTTGAACTTTACACATATCTTAGATCTGAAGTTTTGCTAATGAGAGAGTAAAATGGATACCTCAAGGACAAAAAAATTAAGAATAGCACCCGGATCAGAGCAGATTTGGTGAGCTTTTTCCAGTGCAGAAAAAGATGAAAGAAGGAGAGAGAATTCAAGGCAGCTCCCACTTTAAAGATCCGATGCAAACTGCAAACAGCTGATTCCTGCACCCTTCAGATTCAGGGGAATTAATAACAGACATAGCTCATACGGACTAGAAATGAAGTCCCACAGTATGACTGTAACTCGTCGTCCCCCCCTCCCCCGGGGGCCTTGTTCAGCCTAGGCAAAGGCCAAAAAAGGGTTAAAATCTATGACTACAGACAGACATTACTTATAAACTGATAAAAGTGACCAGAAACCAGTTCAAATCTGTAACACAACTGAAGTTCAGTGCACATAAATTGCTTTCAAAAGCAATTTATGATAAACCTGGTTTATGTAGTATGGTTAAGATAAACCTGGATATATGTAGTAGTACAGGGGTTCCCAACCCCCACGCCGTGGCCCGGTGCTGGGCCGTGAAGGATCGGCTGCCAGTCCACAGGACGGTCAGCTGCTAGACCAGAAGCGACCATGGACCGGCAAACTGCGGCCCTGCAGAGCCAGGCAGAGAGGTCATGACTCCTTCCGCAGGGCCCATGGCAGCAGTTTAGCCCACCCCCCTGCCCAGGGGCTGGAACTAGCTTTACCTGTCTTCCAGCTAGAAATTCCAGCCACAGGGCTCTGCACGGTGGTCCGCAGTTTGCTGGGCCGTGGCTGCTTCCGGTCTGTAGTTGCTGGGCCACAGCATAAAAAGGTTGGGAACAACTATAGTATCAGACTTAACTGATTTAGTTAGTTTAAATCAGTTTATTGAACTTCTGCCCCAGATCCCCTCCAGATTCAATTTAATTCACAGTCCCCCAGCATCCCAGGATGCTTTGTACCACCCCCATAAGCCCCCTCTCCCCCCGCCCTCCAACCCCCTAGCTGGGAAGCTGGGCTAGCCTTCTCCCAAGCTATCTGTTCCATTCTGACAGGGAGACATGCTCTAGCACCCCCTGGCTTTTAGCCTGGGCCACTACAGGCATGTGACTGCATTTCCAGAATCAAAAGTAAATGTCTATTCACCTGCTTTATTGGTCCAATCTACGCAATTTAGACTAACTTACAAAGATTGAACTGATTCAGCCTTGGGCTTTTTGACTGTACTTAGCCCTTGTGCTCAGCTGAAGTCCTGTTTGCTTCCTCTTAGCACATGGGAACCCCACAGAAAAGAAGTGAGATCAGAAAATTGCAACTAGTCCCCACCACACCCAGACCACAGGCCATATTGGGTGTAGCAGGAAGGACAGAATAATACATACTTTGCATCTCTGGAGGCACTTTTCTTACTGGAGCTCCCCTTGGGGGAACCCAGGGCAGATCAGCTCTGAAGGACTGCTATCACAAGTCAATGTCTAAATGGTAAAATCTGTCCCTTAGGGACTAGCCCCTGCAGCTTTTCTAAACCATTACCCTCGAAAAACCAGGAGCTGGTTGACTGAATGAGATTTTTTACAGATGAAATATTATTGTTGTGATTTGATCTTAGTGCTAATTTGGGTGCATAGCTCAGCTGCGAGTGCATTGTAGCATTTAGAAGGACAGCTGGTCTTTCTGCTATCAGACAAAAACAGGGTGAGAGTAATGTCAGAGTGACTGCTGTCAGCCAGTGGGACACAGGAAGCCACTTCAAGTACTAGGGAGTGAATGGCTGGGCTGTGATCCAGGAAACCTCAGGACAGCAGAGCAAGCTGGGATTTGTAAGCAGTGACCCAGAGGACTCAAAGGGCTTATGAGGACCAAATGCTCAGCAATGCACACTTTGGTTGACTGTCTATAGTGTGCCTAGCAATTCATTTTCTGCTTTATGCATTTAAGGGGCCATTTTTTCAGGCCCTACAGAGTTAGAGCCAGATAGAGAAATGTTAAGAGTCCTGAGGAAATTGTTAGACAATTTATACTTTACACCAGAAATCCAGAGAACAGCAGCCCCTGGGTATTGGTCAGGAGCTCTCCACCCTCCACCGATTGTGTACTGATTAATTTCATCATCACCTGCATAAGTGGGGGTGGATCCCTCCATGTTGGTTTAGGAATGGAGTCAACACACCTCTGCAACTCCTACCACTTAGCTCCTATTCCACCCCAAGCCCTCTTTCCCCCACCCACAACTGCTCCCTTTTCTCTGTGTTTATCTTTGGCTTCATATACTCTAAGCAAAAATTGACTTTGGCTTCTTTGCCTGAATTCTGAAGTGTTTGATCTGATAACATCTTGTGGTGTTAGGAGAGAGCGTGCAGCAGTTAGCAAGGAAAAGCAAGCACTGAGGTTTCCTTTCACAGCCTCAGCATTCCTCTGCTTGCCAGTTTACCAAACCAGTAGGCCAACATTTTTGCATGAACTGAAACATCTTTAAGGTAAAGGATGCCCACTTAGAACCAGGCTCAGATGAGTATGCACTTTGGGGGCACACTCAAATGCATATTGCACTCAAATGCATATTGCACACTCAAATGCAAACTCTGCATATTGAACATGTGTTTTTAAACAACTCCACCTCCAGCTGACTGAGGCCTTGTGTTTGCCTCAAAAGGTGCCACATCCAGCCCTTCTTGGACTGAAGGAAAGGCCAGGCTAGGCCAAGAAAGGGGCGGGGGGTGACTATAGGGGATAAATTAAAGAGCCCACCCCTACCCAAAATTCTCCCAGGGAGTTGGGGTATTTTACAAAGGAAATTGGTTAGACAGCAATACAAACGGTCACTCTTACATCAGAAGAATGGTTACAAATAGGCTAAGATGCTTATGACGTCTTTATTTTCATAAAATAGCTCAACTGTATATACAGGGACTTACCAATAGCTAGAACACTGAAGCCTACGAGGCTCTCATTCCACTGCACTACTAATGGAATTTCAATCCAGTTCACTTTAAAACCATTTGAACTCCATTAGGGGAGGCTGTTGTATAACTTTTCAGCCATTCATTTCAGTAAGTTCTGAATTTTTAAAGGAGCTTCAAGTTATGTGTAGTTATACATCGATGTCGGTATATGCTTTTACTATACCTGTATGGGCAGTTCAGGAGACAGCATGAACAAGCCCATACACATGTGCCTGTTGACAACAGCTACTCTTGAAAATATGATCCTATTTTAATATGCATCCACCATTCCTTTTAAGTACCATGAATATTCCAGTCACATACATGTGAATGCAGTCACAGATACAATACTCATCTACACTACAATCAAGCAACTGTTGTAGCTTTAAGCTGACTAGTTTGCACACTAGTGCTGCTGTGGTAGCATGGAATTCAGTACACAGTCCAACCCTGATCTATTCACAGGGGGAAGGGAGCAGCTCAGCCTGATCCTACTGTACAGCAATGGTCCGAGCGAGGCTGGATCCAGCCATACAGAGCTTGTAATGCTCCCTGCTGTCAAGGTTCCTAACCCATGGGGATCCCCGTGGTTTGTGTGCTGTGGCTCTGGGGGCTGAACCTGGCCTGTAGACCAGAATTTGAGCACCCCTGGTGTGGTGTATAGATATACCACTGACTCTCTAAATAACTTTGACTTTAGGTGCAAATATTTCACCCTTCAGACTTGTAGGCCCAGTTTTAAGGGCAGGCTTAAAAACTCACCCTTTCCATAGGTTCTTGCATTTGTGTCATTCTGGTGCATGGTGCAAGAGATTCCATACTCAGATGTGCCATTGCTGCTGGAAATGAAAAAAAGTGAGTGTTGTAAAAAGAAGACTTGAAGGGAGAAGCCAAAAAAATGTTATTTCCCCAGAAGCATAGCCTGACTCAAGGGAAGCCAGAAGGGTTTAGAGCAGTGATGCTCAACCTGGGTGCCACAGCACCCTGGGATGCCTTGAAATCCTTTCAAGGGTGCTACACAATGTTAGAACTGTTAGGTTTGCAAGCACTATTCACAAGATGAACCCAGAGATTTTGAAAAGAGATTCATAGTTGTGGTCTTTCTGAATTCTTTGCAACAAAAAAGTACTCTATTGTTTTTCTGTTGTCAAAAAAAGAAAGAAATCTAAGAGCTGGCATTTTCTGAGTACCACCTCAAATCTATCCAGGAGTGCCTTGAGTCTATAAAGGTTGAGAACCACCCCACCAGTGCATCTGCATGAAGAACAGTTGTCACTGGTCAATGGTACTGTGGTAAGCCTCTATTGTTGCAAAATGCATGGTAGGATCTTTAATGGCATTACAGAGCAGATATAGCATAGGTCTCATGGGATTCCTTGAAAGCTAATCAACCTTATCAGAATTGATACATGGGCTTCCTGAAACCAGATGTAACAAGAATAGAGCCAACCTTACAAGAATAAGGAGAAAAAAAATGTATCAACACTACATTAGTAAGAACAGCCACTCAGTTACTATTCTCCTATTATTTGGTGTTTGTCTTACAAAGTTTTTATGAACAGGGGAAAATATTCAATCTATACAGGGTAAATTGACTGTAAAGACTACCGCACCACCTAGTGGCAAGCTTGTCTCTCACTCCTAAGACTTGCAAGTGAAAGCTCAGTCTCTGCATTGGTAAGGATTAACTTGGGACAAGTTCAGAAAAGACCAGATACCTGAAAAGCAACAGAAGTCCCAGAAAATGTGTGCACACACATGAATTCATACAACCCCCATACCATATTTGAGTACCTGTGACTGGAATCTTTTTTTAAGTGTGATAGAAAAGATAAAATACTGCTACTATAATTTCCCCATTAATTAGCACATTCCAATGAGGATCAGTGGAAATTACGACTCCTATGTGCCCACACCCCTCTTGAAAAGTTTACTCCTCATCTGAATCTAAACCAGTTAGGTAAGAGAAGGTCTTACTTATGTCACTTCTAAAGTTATGAGCTATCCATTCTTACCCCAAATTACAATCAAAACATGCTTATAAGTACAGTTGGTTCAAAATATAAGAAAACATTAACAGAATGTCTTCCCCACTGAGTTTTCTAGAGTTTAATGTCTTCTTTTACCAAAAAAAAATTACCAAGTTCATTTGCAAGCTTTTTAGCTACTGAGCACCCACAGGGGCCCCTGATGAATGAAATGGGACGGCTGATAACCAACCCTCAGGACAAAACCGAACTCCTGACTGAATACTCCACGTTGGTATTCCACCAGTTCAAAAGTGTTAGTCTGCTTGACATGATAACGGATCATCATGGTAGGGGTGACCACCCTCCCACAGCTGGCATAGATCTTGTGGGGGAACACCTACAAAGGCTAAATATCTACAAGTCAGTAGGACCGGGTGAACTACACCCAAGAGTGCTAAAAGAATCGGCCAATGTCATTTCACAACTGATGGCACAGTTATTAGAAGATTCACGGCATTCAGGAGAGGTCCCAGAAGACTGGGAAAGGCCAATGTAGTATCTATCTTTAAAAAAGAGAGAAGGAAGGACCAAGAAAATTACAGGCTAATTATTTTTACCTCAATCCCTGGTAAAATCCTGGAGAAAATTATCAAAGAATACATTACACACAGGCTAACCGAAGGCAGTATTCTAAAGGATAGCCAATATGGCTTCATAATGGGCAGGTCATGCCAGACCAACCTCATTCCCTTCTACAATCAGGTAACTCGCCACCTGGATAGAAGAAATGAAGTTGATGTCATATACTGGAACTTCAAAAAGGCCTTTGACCTGGTCTCCCATGATGTCCTCATGGTCAAATTGGGAGAATGTGGCCTCGACTACTTTACGGTTTGGTAGCTAGGCTACTGACTCTGTGGCAGGACCCAAAGAGTACTGATTGACAGAACTGAGTCATCATGGCGGAATGTGACCAGTGGCATCCCACAGGGCTTAGTACTCAGACCAGTGCTCTTCAACATGTTCATTGACAAATTGAATTCAGGTATTAAAAGCAAACTGGCAAAGCTTGCTGGTGACATCAAACTATGGGGAAGCATGGTCATGCTCAAAGACAGGCTGGCAATACCTGGACAGGCTTGTGAGGTGGGCAGACCTCACCTGAATGTTAGTTAACACCAGACATGTAAAGTGCTCCACCTGGGGAGAAATAATCCACAACACACTTACAGGCTCAGTAATGCTATGCTTGCCAGCACCACAACTGAAAGAGACCTGGGTACCATGACTGACAACAAAATGAACATGAGCCACCAATGCAATGCCGTAGCTGACAGAGCTAATCAAACACTGGCATGCATAGACTGAGGCATCTTGAGCAAGGCAAAGGATGTCATCCTCCTGCTCTGCTCAGACTTAGTGAGACCGCAACTGGAATACTGCATCCAGTTCTGGGCACTGCACTTCAAGAAGGATATGGAGAAGCTCAAGAGAGTCTAAAGGAGGGCCACATGCATCATTAGAGGCCTAGAAACCAGGTCGTATGAGGAGAGGCTGAAAGACTTGGGACTGTTCAGCCTGGAGAAGAAAAGACTCAGAGGGGACCCGGTGGCAGCCTACAAGTATATCGGGGCGTACATCAGAACATCTATTCACCAAGGCCCCCCAGGAGAGGACAAGAAATAATGGGCACAAACTGACTGAAGATCACTTCAGGCTCACCAAAAGGAAAAACTTCTTTACAAGTCGAGTACCGAGGGTTTGGAACAGGCTCCCCCCAGAGGTGGTACAATCACCCACCCTGGCAATCTTCAAGAGGCCTCTTGACGTCCATCTTGCTGGGGTTGTCTGATCCCAACGGTCTTTCCTGCCCAAGTGCAGTGGGGCTGGACCCAATGATCTGTAAGGTCCCTTCCAGCCCCTAACAACTATGAAACTACAAGTCAGTAAAAAGACAGTATTCAGCAAATAAAAACATTTAACAAGAATTTTGACAATTATTTTTATTAAGATATTGATTCCAAGTTATGAAGCATCACAAAAATGGAAAGTTCTGATGATGCTGACAATTTTTCACAGAAAGTTTCATTTTGGAATTCGTGAACAAAGGCAATTTTAACAAAAATATGGCTAAAATTTTAATTGACGCTGGAGATACTTAAGCTTGTTTCAATGCTTGTACAAATTCCATTAAGCACAGATCAGCATCTTTATGTGTTTAAATATACCTTTGTAATTCTGGCCCGAAAGGCACTAGGATAAAAGAAGGTCAAGATATGAAATTGTAGATGGTCAGGTTCAGGGAAGAAGTTAAAGTTTTAATGTAAACTCTTTGGATCAAGGATTTTCTTTTTGTCCTGTGTTTATAGTGTGCAGCTCAGTGAAAGTCCTAAGCCATTTCTGGGACTCCAAGACACTACCATAAAAATGTTGTGCTCTAATCTGGCTTTACTAGTCATTCAAACTCAAGGAAGGAAGGGAGCTTGGATCCTATATTTACTGAGGCTCTGAGCTTCTATTTCTTTAGCAGATCAGAGACTGTTCACAGTGTAGTACAGGTATATAAAATGAATACTGGTAGAGAAATTGTACTAAAACTTAATCTAGTGTGTTCATTTTAGAGGAAGGTATTCAGCTGTTACATGACCAACCCTTCTTCTACCTACCACTCTACAACAATGGTCACAGAACAAGACAACAGCTTTAAAGAGCTTTCTACATTCATTTTATGCACCATTAACAGCTTGAGAAGAGTGACACCAAGTGGTTATTTCCCATTTTGCTTATTATTCTTTTTACCATGCTCATTATTACTGTTCAGTGACCTATTCATGACTGAGATATGTTTCCTTGGGCTCTACTAAACTGCCAAGCTCTTAGAAGTGATAAAAGCAGTACCATACTTTAACAAAAGACAGGAAGTAGTTATGGACTATTTTGTTTGCTATTGATGTGGGGGAGGAGAATATTAGGATCCTCATTGTGAAATCTGGTGGATACACCTCCAAAACCATTTTGTTAGGCACTAAAATTATTCCAGACTACAAACTGTGTCAAAATTGTAGATGTCAGCTACAGTGCAACTTAGCTAGCCAGGTAAGAAGAGCACTCAAGATTGCAGCATGTGCAAACCTGGCAGGCTGGAAATCCTGGGTAGCTAACCTGTGCTGAAGTCTGTGCCACTACATCTTCCCTGCTATTGTTGTTTGTGTTGGGACATTACCGTGTACAGACGCAGTCCTCTGTGTCCTACTGACATTCACTTGCCGGTCCTATGCTGGATAGACGCCACGACTTGATGAATTAATTAAATTAGGAAGGGTGATGACTTCCCTGACCCAGTACCCATCAAATGCAAGGACAGGCAAAAGAAAAGAAAAAAAAAAACCTTCTTGCGATAAAAAAAAACATATAGAGACCCAACATGTCTGCTTGCTCACTTTTCCCCATAGTACCGGGATTTTTAGTGGCTGTTGTCCCTCCTCTTCCCGCTCAGTCCATAAATCCCAATCACTGCAGCCGCGATTGGATTTTTTTTGTCTCTCCAGCTTAATTAGCTACCCGCTGCGGTGAATTAATGTGGAAATGTCTATAGACCCTGTGAGTCTGCTGCCCCGTTCCTGGGGACTTCAGGCCAGCCCAGCAGGAGAGCAATTGCCCCATCTTTCTGTTGGCACATAGTGCTGGAAATAGCTCCCGGAGCCCGGGTAGAGTCAATCCAGCTCACCTGGTGAGTTGGTAAGACTAACCCTGGGGACCTTGGAAGCTCCCTCCTGAGCGTGGCCATGCTACTACTGCTGGATGTGTCCCTCTGACTGGGGAGTTTCCCATGGCAGGTATCATCAATCTTCTCACAGTTTGTGCTA